ATGCGGTCAGTGAACCATGAGTGATCCCTCGTCCAGGAGGACGTGTTTGCTGTCATTCATATGTAGTGTGTGTGTGTGTGTGTGTGTGTGTGTGTAGGTGTCAATAGTCAAATCATGGCCGTTATTTAAAAGAGAGAAAATTCAAAAGGCATGATATAGAGGGTACCCAAAATATTCCCACCTGCTGCCCTTTTGTAATTACTACAGCAGTAGGTAGCAGCACCGATGAGTAAATCCTACAGATAATGAAACACACTCTCTGCAGTATCCAACAGAGGGGGTGGAGGGGTCCTAAAAGGGAGACCTATGTGTCTCGAGACACCATGGTGGCACAGTGCATCACAAGTTGGTGTGCCAACTACAGGACTGGAAATTCAAAATCACCAGCAGCTCCACTCAAGAAAGACGAGGCTTTTTGCTCCTGTCAAGATGTACAGTCTCTGAAACCCACAGAGACTCCCAATGTCTTTGAGTCATTATGAGTCGAAATCAACCCAATGTCAGTGAGTGTGGAGAATGAGTAAATCTGGTGGGAGCCCAGGTGACTCTCCCAGAGTACAGCACACCAGTAGGCTTGGAAACTAATGGAAATTAATGCCCCCCCCCCCAAGATGTGATTACCTTCATAAATGACTAAGCAAGTGGTTCTCAAACTGTGGTCCCCAAATGAGCAGCACCAGCATCCCTTAGAACTAGTTGGAAAGAACTGTACTGTCTGCTTCCATTTAAAAGAAAAGTTTAGGACTATGCAGCTCGGTGCAACCTCAGAGGAGGATCGAGCCTTGGACACGGGTTCAGCCACCAGATGTCACCCACTGCTGCCTCCCACTGGTCCAAAAACCAAACACCTAAAGTCACCGTACGCATAACAATGACATAGAAAACCACACTTACGCTTCTGTGGTCACTTAACCGGCAAGTCGATGAAAAAGATCACTTTTATTATCGCCCTGTCCCTGACAGAATATTACCAGAAAACGCAAGTGTTTATATACACATAGGAGTCCTGGTGGTATAGTGGTTGTGATCCGTATGGTTGGTAGTTCAAAACCACCAGCTGCTCCTCGGGAAAAGACTGTGCTTTCCACTCCCGTAACCAGTCTTGGAAACCACGGGGTAGAGATAATGAGTCAGCATCGACTTGATGGCAGCGAGTTTGTTTTTTTTGTTTATGCACATGCACGGTTTCCTATTGAATCCAGAGATTTGTGGGGTTAAATTTCTTTTTTCTTTTCTTTTTGGTTTAACGTCTTTAATTCTTATTGAAAGATCCAGTAAAAACAAAACCAATCAACATTACACGGGGCAAATGTTAAACCCCCTATCAAGTATTAAGAAAAATGTGAAGAATCTAACAATTAGCAAGCTGTAAATTTAATATGAATGATGCAAATAAATATTCCCTGCACAATAATTTGTAATAGGATATGTGATTTTAGAAAAAGTTTTAAGCTTAAAAAAAATTCACAAATTTTACATTATAGTCACTGCCCTATTTCCTATTTAACATGAAAACACTAACAGCTACAAAAATAGGTTCTTACCATTCCACATATTTTGCTTTCAAAACCATTTTGAGATATGGATATTTCTAACTATCTCAGAAACTTGATCCATTATATATATTACTACTCAAAATTGTTCAGAGTATGTAAATCATTTAACTCTAAATGTTCTTCTCAACCAATAAGAAATCTGAAACCAAACCGTACTTAGTTAACTTTTAGATACATTCAACAACCATTGAGGAGGTACACAGGCATCATATAGAACTTTAACACTGGCCAACATACCTTTTGGTGCCTCAAATGTTGGATGTGTTTCTGGGTATAGTTAACGCGCTGGTTCCAAAAATCGGCACCAGTTTTCCCTTAGAGGCTCTAATTTCTGAGACCTGGTACGAATGCCATACATAGGCTACTCTTCCCTCTGCTTACCCACAAACAACTCAGGCTATTTCAAAGTAGTGTTAGCTAGCCTGAGATATGGCTTTACTTAAAGTAGTTTGTGTTGTACTAAATAGTTAGGTCAAATTATACTTCACATAGTTCCCGCCCCCCACCTTTGAGCCAAAATTATATCTGAATGATGCAAAATCCGATGAATTTGGAATTTCTCCCAAGGATCACTTCATCTTTATTAGGAACTGAATAGCAGGCAGTTCCAAATTTGTTATCTTACAAAAGGAGCCAGCAGTAAGAATGGCTGTAAAATAATAAGGAGCACTGGAGGCAGAGTGGGTCCGCTATCCGAGCCCCCAGGCGCGCTGCAGGAGAAAGAGGAGACGCTGTGCCCTGTAACTACTGAGTCTCAGAAACCCACACAAGCCACGTCTCCGGAGTCGTCACCGAGCGACTGGTAATGGATTTGATACAATAAAACCTCAACTGTTCCGAAACTCCAAAGGCACCTGGCAGAGTTAAAATCCCCTTATGAAAATGAAAATGCTCCAGTCTTTTTATAAGATAGCAAAACTCCACCTGTGTACAGCAATTCCTAAAAAGTTAGAATTGTGTTCTGAAGAAGCCTGGGGTCAATCTCACCAATTAGCACTGAGTGCTACATAGTAAACTGTGTTTTGAAATGTTTACTGCAAAATTCGAAGAAAAATCTAATCTTCAAAATATTTACGAAAATTGCTATGAATGCTTACATTTTTGACACTAAATGGCCCTCACACCTTCCACATGTGTGTCTTTTCAATTTTCTTTTTTCTTTTCCACTCCTCTCAAACTGTGCTCTGGATGGCGGTATCCAACTTGTACACTCTGTATATATGGCATAGCCCTTCCTGCACAAGAAACACCCTCTGAGGGCACCTCTCTTGGAGGTACCCAAAAAAGAAAAGAAAAGCCCCCTGGCAGAGAAGAACTACCCCCTTTGAGTTTCCAAACTTTTAAATCTTTTAAAGGCTGCAGTGTGACTGGTGGTTCCAAACCACCGACCTCAAGATTGGCAGTTCAATGGGTAACCACCAAGGTCCCTGGGTCTGTAGACAGCTTCCCCCCGGAAGTCCCTTAAAACCTAATTCTTTTTCAAATATTCCTTCCCTTTTCCGTCTTATTAAAATTTGTGGGTTTGAATGTTTCTCATATTTAAAACTAGGATGATAAATTAAGAAAATTATTATAACAAAAGCTAAACACAATGAAACATCATATCTAAGAAAGTAGAGCTGCTGCGGTCTCTCTCTCCAATGCAACTTTTCGTTTGTTTTCAAAGCTTATGGGGTTTTTTGTTTGTTTGTTTGAACAAAACCGTATCACCTTCAAAGTAGTCTCCATAACAATTAACACATTTGTCAAGTCTGCGGTTCCATTCTGGAAAACATTGTTCAAGCTCATCTGTTTGGATTGACTGACACCACCTCCCTCGTTTCTACACCATCAAATCGCTGTCCTCCTGTGACCCTCTTCACTCACAGAGATACAAAGAGGTCTCATGGAGCGAGCTCAGGTGAGCAAGATGCCCAATGCAATTTTCTCAATCAGCGCTGCAAATAACCCCGGGAACAGGCATAAAAAACATAGAACACAATGAATGAATGACTGAATGATCGAACGAACGAACGAACGAATGAACAAGGCACCAATTAAAAAATGTTTGGTGTTGTCATGCTTGTCATCTTCTCCTCCAGAGAATTTCCCTAAGCAACAGATCACAAAAGAAACGCTGGCTTCCCTGGTACTCTTCCTTATCTTCTCACCTTTGCCAGTGACTCGTTTTCCTCACATATGTAAAATCTGTTTCATGAATGTGTCTTAAACCTGGCCAATGATGCCCAGTGTCAATTTCCTCTGTCTTAATTTTAAATCCAAACTTTTTAAAAAATGAAACTTAAATAAAAATAAAACTTTTCCCCATCTATTTAGTCTTACATCCACTATCTCTGATAGGTACAACACAAGTGCCAAAGACAGACTTAAAAGAAGAAGAAATCTAAAAGATAAGGTTTGTAGTATGCCCTTATCTCTCAAAAAAAAGTCTTGGTATTTGAATTAAACAACATATTGCATACCTGATCCATATCTAAAGTTGTCTCTATCATCTCCTGAAACTTGGAGAAATCGGAACGAAGGTCAATAAGAGGAGTCACAAAAATGGCCAACAACAACGACTGGTGTTTTCCTAAAAGGGAAAAAAACAAGTTCCGTTTTATTAAATAGCAGGCTACAGGTCATAGATATTCGACTGAGAAAAGAAGCACCATTGGATCCCAAAAGTTCAAAACTGTGCTGCCGGTATTTTAATTCAAATGTAAACACACCGTCTCCCCTTCCGGCCCCCAAGCTCCTTCATAAGACGCACCAGGAATTCTGAAAAGGCCGCATGCATTCCAACTGCAGGCCTTCCAGTCCTCTGTAGATTTAATAACCCAAAGTCAAAGCCGTCCAAATAACTTACCTTAGATCCCTAATCCCATTAATAATACAGTGCTCCAATTAACAGAGGCTAAATCAAGCCCGGCCTTTACCCGATGGACCGCTGCTTAGTGCTATCTAAGAGTGCCTAACCAAAGGGCTCAGGCACACCCCCCAGCCAGAGGCAGCTCACTGCAAGCAGCGTGCTGCTGTGCCGCAGACATGCGGTGGCCACAGGACTGGATGGCAACTAGGGGGTAGAGATTTTTGGAATTATGAGAAGCAACAGAGTATACTATGTGGCGGGATTAAATTTAAAATTAAGATCCAGAATCCTGGATCCCAATCGCAGTTCTGCTCCTGAGTGACTTCAGGATCTTCAGAAATTACTCGTGAGGTCCTGTTTCCTTCTCTGTGCTTTGGAAATCATAATAGCGACTCAGAAGACGAATGAATAACTCTACACAATGCTTGGTATACTGCTTAGCACAACACACGGCGGGACTTAGTAACAGTATCATCTGTAATAGCAAAGATTGTTCTGATCGCCAATAAACTGCCTTTGAACATGCACTCGATCTCTAGCACACAGCAATGGATCCAAAGCAGTAGTTCCCAATCTTTTCCAGAAGTTTTAGAAGGTTCTGATGTCATAAAGTAATGATGAAAAGCTACTATGAGGTCAGCAAAATTATAATAAGAACTCGCGCTTTATTATTAATCACAAGAGCATCTAGACATATGTAGAGAATATGTGTGAAACATTTAGACAGTCTACAAACAACACTTTGCCCACATAACGTCTGCTGTGCTACCACGCCTGGTGCGTTATTCTGAACTAGCTCAGATGACTGGGGAATGTTGTCAGCACAACACAGAGGCTTGTGCTTGATTTTCTCCCAGGCTCATTAGTATTTTCAACGCATGAGGGCAACCATTCACACAATTAAACCGTCATGTTTAGCCATGTAGGACGATCTAAGACGTGTTGCCTCAATGGCCACTGTTCTGTCCCCACCACGAAGGTACTTGGCATGTCGTTAAAAAAAAAAAAAAACTTGCCAGTGTTAAAAAAACCCAAATGGACTGAATTCTAATATTTACTTCAGATTGTTTTATTTTTGGTAGCAGGGACCCAATGAAAGACAAAAGCCCCCAAGGGCTTCCATATCAGAGAAGCTGGGAGCAAACGCCATGGAAACCTTGGCAGTTACTCTGCATCCCCACCCAGTTGCCGGGGCTGAGAGGCTCGAATCTGTGCCACCGGCACTTCAACACCAGTGGGTGACCAGTGGTGAGCAGGTTTCAGGAAGCTCCAGGTGTCAATGGACCAGGAAGAAGGACCTGGCAATCTACTGCTAAAAATAAATCTGGCGAGTGACAATAATAAAGCGCAGCAGAGCCCTGCCTGATGGAATAGCACACAACTCGGGTTAAAAAGGCCATCGGAGAACTGCCTCCCCCAAACGGGGTTAGCCTTCATGACGTGGATAGTGGGGAGCATGTGAGACCTTCATGTGCTGCCGTGGCACAACCCGAAATGAGGAGAAACGGCCTCAAACATGTATTAGTAATAAAAATAGAGAATGCATGAAGTTTACATCTAGGAAAATGCCAAGTAGTCCAAAAACGGAACACATCAAGATCGCTGCCTAGGCCACCAGGGAAAGGAAACGGAGTGCTGTTTGAATCAGACAACCCTATGGTCTAGTATGCTGGCAATGACTCAAGAATGGTGGAGCGTGCACTGTGAAAAATAGCATTTCTCCCCTGCTGTCTGGCCCAGCCAACTCACCTGCCGAGCAAATAACCCAGAAACCAAAGTCTCCTTCACGCTGTTGTTCGCCCTGCCTGGCTCTTCCCGGGTCATGAAGAAAGTGGCTTGGCTGTGTGGAATTTCCCAGGCAGCTGCAGACTTGAAACAGTTTTATCTGCAGAATGCTCAACAGGACCCCCTGCTGACCGGAGTCTCTTCAAGTACAAATCCCTTTCCAGCCCAGAAAGTCTGCTCATTTTTGTAGGAAGACACATCCTTCAAAGGGCTCCTAAGCCACTTTGCATGAAGCAGTGAAATATTCCAGGAGAGCTCAATTTGAAGCCTGTACAAAAGCTTGTCTTCACAGCACATGTGCACATGCAAACTTCTATTTCTGTCAGTCCTTAACATCTCTGAATCTACATGCATTTATATTTCACAAGGGTTACTTGTTTTATACACACTAGCATCTGCCTATAATACATAGTACAAAAAATAATAACAACATTTCAAGGTTTAGCCTGAAGTACAACACTGTCAGTTCTAGGATAATATCTACAGGCCTACGAAGATCGACTATACACGTGAACCTACCAGATAAAATAAGCAAGAATCAATTTGACTCCATTTACGGAAAGGGATGATGGAGAAGCTTGAAATCATGCGTCAGAACAAGGATAGGGACTGGCTGCAGAAGAGGCCGTCACGTGCTCGTAGGTAAGTTTACGGAAGTTAAAGCAATCCTCAAAATAAAATATTATAATGAAATGCGTTAACACCTGGAGTTAGAAAAGCAAAAAGGAAGAACTTACTCAACATACCTTAAGCTAAAAGAACTGAATAAAAAAATTTTTAAAAACACCTTGAGTGGTAATATTGAGGGAGTCTATGGGCAAAACACTTAGCGATGCAGGAAGTATCAGAAGAAGATTGAAGGAATACACAGAGTTACTACAGCATTGAGAATTGGTCCATCGATTCAGGAGATAGCACATGCCCAAGAGCCACCAGTGATGCTAGAGGCAGAAGTCCAAGCTGCACTGAAACCACTGCAGACAGAATACCAACGGAGATGTTGTAACAGATGGCAGCCACGCTGGAAGCACTCTTGCCGTGCCATAAAAACCTGCAAGACCAGTCAACCCAAGAGGTCGATACCAAAGAAAGGTGACCCAATCAAATGTGGGAATTAATGAGCAATAATAGCATTAATAGAACATGCAAGTAAAATTTTGTTGAAGAGAACTCCAAAATGGTGCAGCAAATTCGAGCTGGATTCAAAAGAAGACAGTGAAAATGGGATATCGTTGCTTATGTCAGATGGCTCTTGCCTAAAGCAGAGAATACCAGAAAAATGTTTACTTTTGGGGTCTTAAAGGCTTGGAGATAAACAAGCGGCCATCTAGCTGAGAAGCAACAAAGCCCACAAGGAAGAAGCACACCAGCCTGTGTGATCACGAGGTGTCAATAGGATCAGGTATCAGACATCAAAGAACAAAAAAATAATTTCATTGTGAATGAAGGGGCATGCAGAGTAGAGACCCAAAGCCCATCTGTAGGCAACTGGACATCCCCTTACAGAAAGGTCGTGGGAGGAGACAAACCAGTCAGGGTGCAGTATA